TGGTAGGGGCGGAGCCAGCCAAGCTGAAAAAGGGCGAAGCCAGCCAAGCGCCCCAGGGTTGACCTTGCCCGGGCGGTTTTTGGGGACCGCACCGGCCCAAGCAGGCCGGGCGTTCCCGGTTCCGCGCGGGGCTGGGCGGCGGCGGAGGGCAAAGCACGAGCAAAGTCGACGAGCCAAAGGGGGGGTGAAGACGGCGGGCCAGGGCCAGGCGAGGCCGCCATCGATGCGCATCGTGAGGATGACGGGGAAGACCACCACCAGCCCTACCACAACCACCAACAGCACGCAGAGCAGCCCCGACTGTGCCGCCGGGTTGAGCAGCCAGGGAGGCACGCCGTATGCGGCCGCCTGCTCCATGATCTGCACGCCCTGCTCGCCGAAGCGGTCGTACACTTGCCGCCGCTGCGGGTCGGACAGTGTTGCGTACGCCGTCGAGATCTTCTGAAAGGTTTCGCCCGCGTCGGGATTCTTATCCGGATGGAATCGCAGCGCCAGCTTGCGGTACGCTTTTCGGATCTCGTCGGGAGTGGCGTGCGGCTCGACGCTGAGCAGCGAGTAGTAGCTCTCGCTCACAGAGACACCTGGAGTGAACGAGCCCATCAGCCGTCGTCGGCGTGCTGCTCGTTCGGCGCCTACAGTACAGCGAATGTTGAAGGGTGAGTGGTTGTGCGTTTACGTGAAGTGGAGCAAGGCGGTGTGGGCGCCCCCCACTGGCGCCGAGGGTAAGAGGACGTCTGCCGCTTGCTTGTTCTTGACGTCGTTGACCCATTCGGCACGCCCAGGGGATTTAACCCAGTCGGCACGCGCATTGCGCGCCTGCTTGTTGTGTGAGTGTTAGAGTTGTTTGGTATTGAAAATCTCTCTCTCTCTCTCTTGATGTGGATGTCTCTCTCTCTCTCTTGCTTGATGTTTTCGGCGTCGCCCGCCAGCCACCGCCGCCACATGCCCATCCATGGATGGAGATCTGCTGCGTGTGGTGGACGACAAAGGAGGATAGGGCAGGAGGCGCTCGGCGCTCGGCGACGCCGCCCCATACACCGTCCGGTCCGTGTTGGTGCCCACCGCTTCCTTGGCGAACACGTGGAGGAACTGCTTGGTGGGCGGCGCAATGCCACCCAAAGTCTCCACGAGCACCAGCCGCGTTATGGCTTTCTTGACCCACTTCGCGTCGTAGTACTGGGCCCCCATCCACTTGCAGCCTGCATTCTTCTTGACCCACCCGTCTCCATACGCGTGGTCTTATTTATTTTGACCCATCGTTCGTCCCTTTCCAGTCGTTCGTGAGTCGAGTGGTCGAGCGGTCCGTCTCCTGCGTCCACCTGACGGCCACGCTCCTTGCACCCCACGACCCCCGTCACCTCGGGCTTTCCACAACAACACAAACAAAACAAGAGTTGTGGGATTGCTAAAAATCTCTCTCACAAAAATCTCTCTCTCACAACTCTCTCAAAGACAAAAAACAAGGAAGGTAAAAGAAAGAAAGAAAACAGACAGGGAGGGATGGGCTAAAAGAAAGAAACAAAACGGACAAGCCAAGGGAGGGATGGGAGGACCGCACGCCGCCAGCACATGGGCTTTCCTGTACCCAGACCGAAAAAGAAAGAAAGAAAACAGACAACCCAAGGGAGGGATGGGAGGATTACCAGACCGGACACAGAAATGAATGGTTTCTTCTCTTAGGCCCACTCCACACAGGATTCCAACTTTTTGCGGGGTAAGGTATGGTAGGGTCGGCGCCAAAAGGGTGGGGGGGTATGGTCCTGGCCGCCGGAGGCGGCCTGCTCGACGGGTGGGGGGGTATGGTCAATCGCTGGAGCGGCCACGTGTTCAGGGTTCGAACCCAGTACACAGCCGCCGTACTCGAGTACACAGCCGCGGACACGATGCCGACTCACGGCGGCCCCGGCCGCTTCGATACTGTCGCGGGCCTTCTCGCCGCGACGCCGCCTCAACTTCGGCTCCTGGACAGCTCGCTGCCCGACGACGCCGAGCGCGCCGCTGTGCGCAGCTGCTGCGCTGGTACGCTTGCGTCTTGCATCGCACAGCTCGACGCTGCGATTGCACCGCATGCCGTCCGCATGATGGACGGGAGGCGGCGGAGGCGGAGGCCGTTCCAGCGGAGGTGACCATGGCGGAGGCGGCGCCGGCGGAGACCGCGCCCGCGCCCGCGCCCGAGGTGACCATGGCGGAGGCGGCGCCGGCGGAGACCGCGCCCGCGCCCGCGCCCGCGCTCGCACCGGCCGCGCCCGCGCCTGCGCCCGCGCTTGCGCCGGCACGCAAGGCCCTGGCGGCCTTTGCGGACACGCTCTGAGGGGTGAGCACGATTGCCGGCGGGTCACCTCGCGCAGGCTGCGTCGAGAGGACAGCCCAGCCTCGCGCCCCGCATCTGATGTGACCGGCCCTGTTCCAACTCGAGTGGCGGGGCGGGGGGTGGGTTGGTTTGGTCTTGCCGTGCCCAGGGTCCGTACTCTGCGCGTGGGGGGGTATGGTCGCGGCGCCAGGGCGCCGACCCTACCATACCATACCCCGCAAAAAGTCCGAACCCTGGGCACGGGAAACACAATCTAACACACACACACACACGCCCATCCTCATGGACCAGGGCCACCCACATCCGACGCCGGCCGCCAGGCTGCGCACTCTTCTCGACGACGCACGCGAGGCCTCGCGCTGCGAGGTCATGCCGGCCTGCCACGACGCGCTCTCTGCGCGGCTGATTGAGCGGGCCGGCTTCAGGGTTGCCTTCATGTCTGGCTTTGCCGTCTCCGCGAGCGGCCTGGCCCTGCCCGACGCCGGGCTCATCTCGTACGGCGAGCAGCTTTCCGTCGGACAGAACATCTGTGCGGCGATTGACACGCGGCGGCTTCTCGTCATTGGCGATGGCGACACCGGCTTCGGCGGCAGCGGCAACGTGCGCCGCACCATCGAGGGCTACGCAAAGGCCGGGTTCGCAGGCGTCTCCATCGAGGACCAGGTCTACCCGAAGCGCTGCGCGTACTCGGGCGGCGTGGCGGTCGTGCCGCG